AAATATGAAAACTGACATGTTCTAACTTCACACAATGTGACCATGTTTCTGAGATACATGCCACAGTTACACAATGTCGTGTCTGCCGCTGTTTGCTGGTGGTTTTCTGGAACAAATCAATCTCCCCAGTTTCAATATGTTCCAACAGATGCCACACATTAACCACTATTTTTATTCTCTGCCTGAGTTTCACCCCTCCAACCTTTCCCAAAATATTATGTTGCCAGTGTTAGTTACAGTTTGTTTCTGTCTGTAATTATTAAAATCTCTTCCATGACAACCTGATAAAAGGCTGGCCACATTCCCACACTTATTAAGCTCCCAAGTGATGCAAATTGTAACAAATATTCCAGCCAGGCTTGCAGAGCACTGCCTAGTTTGTTGTTATGCAAATCTGTGTCTGAGCTCTGCATGCTTATTTTTCTAGGAAGCAAACAATATAAATAAAACAGAGCAAAACAACATTTTGGCTTCTTTTGCCTCTTTCCGTTGTATTTCCTTTCTATTCCACTAAGAGAATCACACCCTCAATTATTAGACAGCCTCTCCTTTGGTTGCATACAGCTGCAAGCTTTGGGTGGGACTCCGTGGCTGAATACCTAAGAGGAAACATTGAGAACAATGCCAATATACAAGCAGCGAGGGGCTCTGTGCAACATTACGTAATGCTACTGACCTCTTTTATGGGGCAGCTGGAAGACAGTTACTTCTCAACATGTTAGTTGGATAACAGAAAAACAGATTAATAAAAGCCTTTGTTAAAATCCACTTGCAAGCAGTCCAGTTGTAACAATGTCCCTTCTGTTGTTCCTTGAGCACTGGACAATTCATCACATTTATGGCCTGGTGGCTGTGCACAGGTCTTAAGTATGCTCTTAAGTCTGATATCCTCCTATGTGGTCAAGTAAAATCTAAAGCTCTGAGTCTAGTAGGGAGAGGAAAAGGAGAGAAAGAAAGGAAAAGACAGGGGCAACATGTTAGAAACAAGCAAGAGATATCAAGTAAAGGAAATTCTGAAACATCATCAATATTGTCTGCAACCAAGCTGCTGGACAAGCACTATGAAGGCACGCTTGCAATCATTCTGGTAGCAGAAACATCAGGTCTCCCACGTAACATCCACACACAGCAAGCAACTTGACTGCTTATCTAAATGCCATAATTTGTTCAGGCAAATGACTCAGCCACAGACTAATCAAATACTTTTATCTCTTATATTTTCAATTAACAACTTAGGAAAACTATGGTCAATATGAAGATTGTTATCAGCACATCTTCCCCTCTTTTCCCACATCTCTCCAGTGAGCTTCATTATTATCATGAATTCTTGTAGATTCATCAGCCACCTCTATCACTGAAGTTTCTACTGTTTCGGTGCAACTGTTTGGATAATTCAGATAATCTTCAAAACTTGTATACATCACTGTTGCTAAAAGTTCACCCCATATCCTGGCAGAGTGCAGTGAGAATGCCCGAAGTAAAGACCTCACTTGGCAGTGCCAAAGAACTAACAGAATCTACATGAATGTTGGCTGCAAAATGCAAGGATATCTGTAAGCACAGCAAGGATGAAAAATGATAAGGGAGCAGATTAACAGAAGGAAATATTTTTAAACCAAACAGAGATGGGCTAACGATCTGACATGCCTTTCTAAATCTCTGCATTTTTGCTTGGGTTTGAGCCTGATGCCTGGGATAAAACAGCATATATAATGAAACAGTATGCACAGCCCTGTGATTTAAAGGATTCATTCTTCTGCCTGCAGTCTCCAGTGCTGGGGTCACCTTTTACATGCAGATGAATGAGTCTACATGATAGGAAGATGCCACAACGCACACAGGTAGGTCACGCACTACACAGCATGCAGGCATCTCAACTCCTTGGCCTGAGAGTGCCTGGTGCCCTCTGCCCATAAAGAACACATCAGTCATGAGGTTGGAAGGAGAACTGTCCTATTCCTTTGAGTAGCCTTGACTTCAGACAAATAGCTTGCGACTGCTAATTACAAAAAACTTAAAAGGATTTGTTATGCTCTCACTGGCTGGAAGATGGTATGGTGAAGAGAATGCTGAGGAGCAAAGCTGACCAAACACCAAGGGATGCCTGAAACTGTGCAAACAGCTAGAGGCACACCAGCATAAGAAACCAATACAAAATTTTTGTGCAGGAGATCTGCTATACACAACCAGAAGTCAGAGAGGAAAAATCCCTTGTAGTCCAATCCTGTGCTCATCTTTTCCAAGACAACATGACAAGGTCCCTGGCTTCACCTAGCCAACTAGTCAACTTCTCCCTAGCCAGCAATGGCCTTTACTTCCCCCTCTTCGTCTAATCTTTTCCAGCATTTTTGCTCCTTGGCTTTTCTTTCTGGTAACACTGACATTAGACATCTGAATAAATAATAATTAAAACTGACTTCCACTGGAGTGGAATTTTGCTGTGAGAAATGCTTTTTCTACCACAAAGGTGTAAGTTGTTTGCCAGGCCACAATTTTGTTTGGCAAAATAGAGGAATTAAAAAATGAACACCAGGTAGTCAGATTTGCAGTGGTTACCTGTCTCCCAAACATTATACCTCTCAGAACCACAGAATATTGTTTGGATTTATTCTGCACATAGTATTTTCCACCAACTGCTTGTGGCCTGAAATGCCATGGATGAGCATCAGGGCCAGAAGCCCTCTGACACAGCAGAACTACAGGCATGTTAAGGGACATGTCTGACTGTGCCTTGTTTATTTTGCAGATTGGCAGTTTAAACAAGAGTCCACACAAGAGACGGGCATTTGATTCAGATCTAACCACCTGAAACATTTCTAAAGCCACACTTCAATGAGTCACAATACCTCCCACTACCCAAAAGCTTTAAATGTTTGTGTCTAAAAACAGAGTCAGAAGGTTTACCCTTCACAATCAAGACTGATACAAGCCTACAGTGCCATAAATCAGCTCTTCTATAAGCAATAGCAGTTCAGTGGTGAATCACTGGAATGTAGTGACTAACCTCTGGTGGAAACTAGAACTTGTTGCCTTACTAGCAATTTTCTTTCTTACCTCATGAACACCAGGAACAAAATAAATCTGGCTTGTCTTAAGTGGATATTAAGGAGAAAGAAGAGCTACAGTGCTGATCTTTTACAAGAATAGCTTGAAAGAAAAGACTGTGATTATCAGGTGAAAGAGTACAATCCTTTTTTATTGTTCCATTTTCTGCTAAGAAATGAGTAGTCACTACTTAGGTCAAGTATTTCAAGGTTTTCCTAGAATAGCTTTTGTCCACTCTTTAAAGCTGCAAGATGTACAAAAACAGTACAAAAATTCTTACTCGGATGTACAAGAAATATCAAGACAAAAGAATGCAAGAACAATGTACAGAGTAGATCTGGATGACAGTCATTCCAAAGGCAAAATTATTACAGACTATTATCTAGTTGTCTGGAGGAGCCACGGACCAGCTGGCTGTGATGTTCTGCTCAAAGTTAAACACAGACAGGAAACCGCATGTCTGATACTGTAAAAATCGTTTGTCTTCCTGCCATGGCTAACCAGGCAAGCAACCCAAAGGGGCTGTTTTCATTTAAAAGAAACACTAATCCACAACAATAAAAAAAGGAATGACAAAGCCTCAATTCTCCCCACTCCCAAACGGAGCTAATGCATGTGTTTGTGAATGAACTCGAAATGTTACAAACTGAAGCTGTGTGCTACTTCAATTTTTATATGTAGTTATTCACTTTCTACATGAATGTGAATATGAGTGCAGGGCACAGCTTCCATGAGTCACCACACACGACACAGAATGAAAACCTTCACTACAAAGAGTGAAAGGAATCAGGATAAAAAAGGTAAGGATTTCATTTACACTACAGAGCCTTTTAGTCTGATCTGGAAGTGTGTAAGGCAGCTTCAGAGTAGAGGGGAATGAAGGCAGTTGGTGCTGAATTTACAGAATGGTTCTTGTAAACACACACAAGATTTGCATTTGTCAGAGTGATTACATTAAGCTTATATGGTTCCAGGAGAAACAGTTTTAGTATGAGTAATTTTTAACAAATTAGCCAAGATCCACAAGGGTGAGGCTAGCTTTGCACAAAAACTCTAGACAGTTTACACAAAGTAAGGTCCTTTCAGTATGAACACTTTCTCTTTGATACAATCAAGGCAATTTGTTACAACTAGGTCCTGGGTCTACCAAATCAATATCAATATTTGCCCCAAATCCTTCAAAGTCCACCTGAGTAAAACGTAGCCAGATGGTCAGGAAACAGCAGTAAGGCTGTCCGGATTTTGGTTAAACCCGGGTAAGAAAGGAGGTAGAGTTGAGAAGGTAGTACCAGACACTGACAGTCCAGGCCAACATGCACAAAGACCTTTTAGTGAGCTCTAGGCACATCTAACCTAGAGTAACTGTACAGCCTTCTTGGAAGGCAAGGAAGAAGGGGGAAAAGCCACTCATGCATACATAACTTTGTGCTGCAGTAAGCACAAGGTAGCATATCCACCAGTGAAGGAAACTGCACATATTCACAGAAATACACCACAGAACAAGGAAGTGGGGAGAGGCAGTCACCAAAGCTGCCTTTAAATTTGCATCCTGTAAAATACTCAACAGTACCTGCATAGATGGAGGACACATCACGAGAAAAGAAGTACTAGAAGAGGCTACAGATTAAGTGTTTTTATAACTTGTTACATTTGGGTTTGTCACCAACACAATTCTGAGCACCTTGTTCTTATCATTCCAGTGACTTTCTATGCCATGTGCTGAGATGAATATCTGAACTGCTTCCAATGGAACATTACCCAGCAGAAAAAAATACGTCCAGAAAGCACAAAGGAAAGGCTGAGATTTTGCAGCCTCACAAGAGGCCAGAAAGTCTCCAACCACCTGGAAGGCTTCCTCCACAAAAGGCAATTCCAAAGATCACTGGATTTAAGGTCACATTTCATATCACGTGCCAGGCAGAGCCCAAGAATGAAGAGCAAATTATTAAACTCACCTGCAGAAAAAATAAGAACATCGTTGCACTCTTCACCTGTACAGGAGCACATGAACATCAGTCCCCCATCATCCTTCTTCTCCTTCATCACACACTGCTCTGAGCTGGAGTCATCCAACATGTGACCATACAGTCTCTTCTGGGGATCGTGGCAGATTGTTTCTAATGTCACATTCTCATCGTTCCGTCTCCTAGGAGGGAAGAGGAAAAACTGAAATCAAAAGAAGCATTTTTAAGAAAGGAAGCACACAGGGTCATCCCTGCCCAATATTTGCCTCGTTTGAGACCTCACAGGGGATCTTCATAGAATACTGTCAGTTTTTCTCCTGCTCTCCTGAACGGGGAAATTTTGGTCATGCTTGGGCTGCTCCACACTGGGGCATTTGTACAAC